AAAGGAAAGCAACGCGTAACATGATTAACGGGTTTAAGCAAGTGGATGGCAGAGCAGGGTCTCAGAGAAATAGCAAAAAGACAAAACTTCTTGAGAGCTACAAGGGAGAGAAAGAAGGGGAGAGCCATGATCATCTACATGCTGAAGAGACACGGCACAGAAAAGATATGACATTACTATTATAGGTTTTTAAACATTTAGTATTAATTATAGGTTTAGGAATGAGCAGCTGGAAAGACAAGGGAAAGTAACATGTGATATACTTAATGGGCTTAAGCAAATGGATGGAAGAAATAATAAACAGTCAAAACATATTGAGAGCTACAAGAGACGGGAAGTAGTGGAGAGCCATGATCGCCTAGTTCTGAATGGACACGGCACATAAAACAAAAAAATCAAGAAAGAGAAAGCACATCGCACTTTATTTCTCATGATAGAGTCCCTATTTATTATTTCATAATAGATGAGCATCATTCATGTGTTCCAATAGTTCAGACCTTTACAGCGTGAACACAATATTCCACTTCTTCGGGATCGAATCATGTAAGAAGAAAGTTCAACTCGGACAACTATTTTTTTCTCTCAAGACTTGCTACTTTAAGAAGCAGACTAACCCATGGATAATTACTTGAACATTACAGTCTTAAACTTTTCATGTTAAGGGTCAATATTTATATAGTCTCCTTATCCTTAAAATCTTCACTTCCTACCATTTATATCATATGAATTATTCCGTTTAAAACTAACTTCTATCTTGAGTGGCTCATGAGCCCTACATTAGGGTGAAATTTAGTACAAAAAATTACAATCTTATGTGGGAATTCATTTTCATGTGGGCAGACGATATGGCGACTGATATTTCTGGGGTTTGTAAATAAAGCTAGTAAAATGATTTATGGCTTAATCCAAGCATTTCCGTTTTTCAAAAAAATTGTACAGCCTTGTTGTTGCTTTTTTTTTTTCTTAACTAAGTTAAGAAGACATTAAGCAAATATGATATTTTTTTCTCTCAAATAATCGAAGCATTCGTTAGTTATATTATTTAAGAGATTCGGATTTTCGATTCAGTAAACCCGCCAAAAGAATATACAGGTAGCGTAACGGGTATCGTCGCTGAAAATGGAATCAGTGCATCGAGTTCAATTCCTGGACTAGTCACTTTCATGCATTTTTCACCCGAATGTAACGTCATGAACCTGTTACTTCTTCTAAGGGCTAAATAGTAGAGTAAACTGAGTCCTCTTGTCGTGGTTGAAAACTAGTCTAAGAAAAGGACAACTGAGAATTAAAACCTTTGAGCCCTACGTTTCTGAATAATTTTAACGCTTCTCCCTGGGTTCCCGAGCGAAATTTTGCAAATAAGTGGTATGTAATGTTTGACGGTAGATATAAAAATAGTTAAAAGTGTTTATCCACCGTTCAGCCAGTAGCTGGGCATTAAGTCATCTTTCTCTGTCACTGTTTAACCGCTGGCTGGGCATGACGTCATTTTTCTCTACCACTGTTCAACCAATGGCTGGGCATTACATCATTTTTCTCTACCACCGATAAAGCGGTGGTCAGGGCTCAAGGGATTAAATTAAATTAAATAAATAAATTAATAAAATAAAATAAAATAAACTCTGATTTCCCAAGAACGGTATTTCGGATATAATAAAGAAAATATTATTATTATTAATAATAATAATAATGGTGAGTTATGTTTGACTACGTCCTGAAGGGATATGTCATTAAAAATAAAAGGAAAACTTACAACAATAGCTGCTGAAGTTTGTTTTGTTGGAATCATATATTAAATAGTCAAAGATGTATTATACTGTTTTGTGTAGAATTAAGAAGCACGTTTACTATTTCCTAATCTGATATCCCTTTCTCCATAACTGCTTCTGGATTTGATTACTAACATCTACAGGTCTTCGTAAACGCAACTTACACTTTATGAAGCCATGACTATGCTACAATGACTGCGGGAAATAGAAGAGGTACTTGTATACATATATCAACTGCTCAATATGATACTCGAGAAATCCTTTGTATCTTACGGCCACATCACGTTCAAATACCGGTTCCCGTATGATCGCCGTATAAACAACGTCTCGCAGTCAGTAGCTTGATGGGTGACCTCTTAGGAATACCAGGTTTTATAAGCTTCGATATGAGGTAGTATAATGGATAATAGCTCGAAATTGTTAATCAGAGAACCGAGTTCCAATTCCAGTTGAGTTCGTTAGATTCCCGTACACTCAAATACACTCCCCCATCTATGGGTTAATTAGTAAAACTTAAATCATTATTATACTTAAAAAAAGTACAATATAAAAATATTTTCTGGACTTAAGTGATCTGCAAAGTGTTGATAAGCCGTAGAAAACCAATCAATCAATTTGTCTGTCAGAAACAATGGACATTTGTTTGACAAAACGATATATGACATACACTCGGCGCTGAAAGTGATTAATGTCATAAGACAATAGATATAATATAAATACTTAAACACCATGGAAACGACAACAAGTAATCGATTTACTGTCTTTGCCAAGAATTCAGGACAATTTATTCGATAATAAATGAAATGTAGCCGTGGAGAGTTTCGGATTAACCCTTCCTAATTTTCGAAAGCGCTCCTAGGGGACGCTCGCCGGATTATAAATACTATATGATATTTTTTCTCACTGTCTTCTTACCTTATTCGCTTATTTGTCAACATGTAAATTTCACGCGGAGAACAAGTTTCCCTTTGGGAAACACATGAACTAACCACATACACACAACACACGTACGTACACACATTCAATCACTTTACATACTTAGAAACCAAACGGTTTTCACATTCTTTTCTTACAGACACCATTGTTGTTATCACTAGTTATTTTTGTTCGTTTATTTTTTCGTATGTGTCAGTATCACTGACTAGTGAGATAATTATTTATGATCACAACCCCCCCCTCTCTTGTCAAAGAGAGTGATGTTGATTTCCTTATTTCCCGCTAGGTGTTTTAGTGCATTTACTTGTCTCAGTGGTAATGTATTTTCGTTGTTGATTTCTACAGTAGCAGGGATTATGCCTTGAGTGAAACCCTTGGTGAATTCGGAGTCGTTTTGCTAAGGATTTTATTTTACTATAGTGTCTACTAAATCTCCTTTGCGGGTCCCTGTGGCAAATTTTAAATTGAAGCAGAGGGGTTCTCCTTCTATATTGGAAAGCTCTATATCCGATATATTTTCTGTTAGATTAGGCTTCCCAACATATTACTACTTACTGTTGCTGCATAGTTTGTTGACTTTTTATTAAAGATTGTTGTTTTGATTGTCACTCATTTGTTTCATAGTTTCGTGTAGATGAATCATTTCCAGCTTTATACAACATATCTTTTGTATCAAGGATGATTTTATTTTACTTTTAACTGTATGTATGTGTTGTATTATGTATGTATCTAGAAATATAGAGATGTTTTATTTTGAAAAGTCGATTAGCACATTGTTCATTGTTAATGTTATTGAGTGTTATTTTTTTATTATTCCATTATTTTTAATTTTTTATGTTGATATGCTTATTATGCTTGTATTTTCTCCTACCATCTTTCGGGTGGAGTCTGGTATGTGTGTGTTTCAATGAGTTCTGATGGAGCCGTGGTAGGATATCTGCAATGTAAGTCGTCTAGATAGACATATAGTAGTGTGACCGAAGTAATTATTTATGAATTTGGTTTCATCATCAACACTGTTCGTTAAGAGACATTTGAACTCGTAAAGTTAGTTCTTTGTAGTTTTGATTATGTAGGTGTGCTGGTATTATTTATAATAAGATTAGCTGTTTTAAGTTTTTTTTTTTTTTTTTTTGTAATAGTTAATTTAATTTTCGGGTCGACTATGGTAGTGTACTTCTTCTAAGTGAAGATTCATCTTGCATATAGTTGACGTGTATTTGGCTTTTGTAGTTGTTAATATTGTTTTTGACTGTGTGTTCAATATCGTTATTAGTTAATTTGGGAAAAAATAGTGTAATCTGGTGGTTGATGACTTAGGAGAAACATTGTTAACTAGTATCTGTTTTGAATTGTTGATTCCTTTAAAGAAAAGCAGACGTGAAGATCACTTGAGGCCCTCTTTATGTATTTTTTTTTTATAACTGGTATTTTATATCTAATGGACATTCAATCGTAAAATTAGCGTGTCGAGTGTTTCTGCTAGGGTTATATATATATATATATATATATATAATGAGCTGGTCAAAGGGTTGTGAGTGTATTCTACGAGAACGTATAAGAATGCGAGTTAATTGTTTTGACTCAGTTTTTTTGGACGGTTTTACACATTTTGTGCCCAGAAAAATAATTGGAAAATAAAATATCTTTATTACTCTTGATACTACCCATACATTCGGTTGAAAGGTAAGAAAAAAATATCCTTGATAAGCATAGCCGAAAGCGCTAAAAAATAGAAAACACCTGTACGAATACAGGAAAATTAAATAAAAAGCTTAATCGGAGAACCTTGTCAGTCGTCTTTAATGAAACATATATATATATATATATATATATATATATATATATATATATATATATATATATATATAGATATATATAGATGTGTGTGTGTGTGTGTGTGTGTGTGTGTGTGTGTGTGTGTGTGTGTGTGTGTGTGTGTGTGTAAAATATATAGAAAATAGGAAAGAACTCGTTAGGTAAATAATCCAAAGGTCTTTAGTATTTTTGTTATTATTTTAAAATTTCGCTTGAAGATGGAACAGAGCTTGGTACTTTAATTCAATTTAATTCAAATAATTATATTGAAGTTTTCGGCTCTTGTTTTGAAACATGAGAACTTTTATGTAGCGTTGGAATCATATTTTTAAATAAATAATCATATATATATATATATATATATATAATAATAATAATAATAATAATAATAATAATAATAATAATAATCGACTCTCCCGTCGAGATTCGACGTATGAGGGTCAAGCAGATCAGTTTCCAGGAAACCGACAGCCCGACACCGGCACATGAGATTTGATTATAGTGGTGAAGGCTTCGTGCAATATATATATATATATATATATGAAGATAGAGAGAGAAAAATAGATAGATAGATAGATAATGATTAGAATAAGATAGATAGATAGATAGATAGATAGATAGATAGATAGATAGATAGATAGATAGATAGATATTACTATGTACTTAGCTTAACATTGTCAGATAATTTCGTTTCGTTATGACGACGGTTCCATTTTCAAATATTACTTTGCGAGTGTTCCATTTCATATATTTGATATTCGCTAAAGATAGTTGAAAGTACTCAGACATTGAAAGATAGATTTTCAAATATAAATAAAGGAGCAGTCGAACTGATATATTTGAAAATGTGGCCGACGATATATATGTGTGCGCGTGTGTTTTTGTTTGTTCGTGTGCGTGTGTTTGTTTCTGTCGGGTGGGGGGGCGTTTGTGTATGTGCGTGCATGCAGTGTTTCAAATTCACTATACATATTTATTGAAGAAAAGTGCTTAGAAACTGAGATAGACCCTTCAATGACATGGAGAGTGTTAAAAGAGAAAGCAACACCTCAGTGTGACTGTCAGTTTCACACCCCACATCCAACCTATGTCCACACTGTCGATATCTGTAAACACTTTGAAAATGAGTCCCTTACCCCATAAATATAATAATTTTGGACCAAATATTATTATTATTATTAGTAGTAGTAGTAGTAATAGTAGTAGTAGTAGTAGTAGTATTTCCTTTGATTTCTGGTGTGTACTAATTTCTTTTCGGGTCCCGAACAGAGACTTAAGGTCATCACATTTTCCACTAATAAAATAAGAAAACAACAAAAATATACATATTTTACACTGATAAAACCCGCCATAAGATGTGGGCGATACTCGTGAGAACAATTTTTGTATTTCTTTAAAGCATGGGTTTCCAGGAATTCCTTTAATAAGTTCATTGGAATCTTTTCCAATCACTTCGAAGGTGTCAACTACAAACTGATGTTCTCGTGTGACATTTGTTTCAGATTTCGATTTCAATGACCTTGTATTTTATAGATTTTTGAAGATTTTCAAAGATACATTGCAATGTGAAGGGACTGCCATGTCAATAAGGAGGTACTTCTTGTCTTTGCAGTCACGATGGGTTAATGGCTTTAAGTGTTCTGCCCGTTTGTATTGTGAAGTCCCGTAAAATTGTTACAGGTCCTATCCCCGTAACCGAAAAATCCTGATCAAAGGTCCAATCAGAATTTCATAATGTTTCAATAACTTATCCTGACACTGGATAAGAATGATTGAATTGCTCACAATATTTTCTGTGTTTTGTTTTTAACAGTGCGTCCCAATCAAGACGATAATGCTACTAAGACGCAAGTCGCTACGGGAGCAAAAGAAAATTAAAGATTTAAAAAGGAACCGAAATCCAATCTTAAACAGAAAACAAAAGATAAACCTCTACTCCTGTTCAAAAAGTCCGGAGTGGAGTTGAAGCTGACGATAGGCGAACATATTTACACATATTGAGGCGAAAAAATATTTAGCAAAATTTGAGAGCTCAGGCGGACATGCTAGAAGTATAGAGTTGACCTATACATTCGAAGGAAATGAAATCCTAATCCCAAACAGGAAACAATGCTGTATTTATACGTCAAATATATGGTATATTTATAGATTAAAGTGTTCAACATCAGGGATGCAGAGCATGTAAATATAAGAATGGCGATTGAAGTTCAGGCCCATCGACGGCAATCTGTGTCCTGCTTGAACGTAATCGTCAAGCCATGGTTCAAACGATCAAGCAAGAAAGAGACTATCGCGTCTGCGTGCCCACATTTATATATATATATATATATATATATATATATATATATATATATATTCTTTCTCACTCTGTCGCTCTTCCTCTCTCTCTCTCTCTCTCTATATATATATATATATATATATATATATATGGGCATCAAATGACAATTGGAAAAAAGTCTTACAATTTGCCGACGCGTTTCGTCTTCCGACTTTTTCAAGGCAAAAATGAAATCGAAATGTTTTTGTTATAGTTACATTAAAAATCCAAATTTAAAATTTCATCTGGGAATTTAACTATATATATATATAATATTAGTGATCAATATATGTTTGTATCTATATTTATCTCTCTCTCTCTCTATATATATCTCTCTATATATATATATATATATATATATATATATATATATATATATATATATATATATATAAATTTGCAAGACGATAGAATCCATGTAGAACTCAATGTCCAGAACAGAGCAAGAATATAATACGAAAGGCACAAACATTAAAATTCCATTGTTATAATTTATTACAGTGGAATCGTAATCATGACCATATTGGTTAAACTTACAAATTCAAAAAGAAAAAAAGAGAAATATTTTCTTATCATATTATATATATATATATATATATATATATATATATATATATATATAATTTATACAAATATAAATTTTGTACCAATTCACATATATGAATAATAAGTAAAATTATTTTGCCAATTTTCGTTATTTTTCATGCGAAGTGAAAAAAATAACTTATGTATTTGCGTATGTGTAGGATATCGTGGTTATTTCTTTTACTTCATCCTTTACTTTTCTTTCATACACTCTCTGCGTTCATTTTCCTTCTCTTTTCTCTTTCCACCCTGAGCGTCAAAGATAATGTGACAATATCATTTCTAGTATCACAGTACAGACATTTTTTTGATTTTTTAGGATAATTCGTTTCCTCGAATACTCTGCGGTCTTTTTCTTAAGTTATATAGGTATATTCATACCCCCCCACACACACACACATATATATATATATATATATATATATATATATATATATATATATATATATATATATATATATCAAAGTCAACATCTTTATATAGTTTAGATATATGATTGCATGTGTATGTGTATATTAACCACTTATATTATCTATCTATCTATCTATCTATCTATATATATATATATATATATATATATATATATATATATATATATATATATATATATATAAATGCCGCCTATCGGGTGGCATTTAAACTAGCTACTATGGAGTGCTCTTTGATTGGGTCTTCATCAAAATAGATTGAAGTAGATGTGATAGGCAACAATAAACTACAGACGAACTCAAAATTGATCGCTGTATTTAAGTATTGATTTAATATTTAAACTTACCTTTTAAAAGTTCAACGATAATTCTTCTGTCGCCAATTAATTTGAAGACAGTTTGATTTACGTTGGTACTTATTTTCCGTACAAACAATTATTTTTATTTCATCGGGGACTTTCGATGGATTTAGTTATAAATTTCAATTATTTCAAAACTGTTATCGTAGAAAAAGATTCGTTGCAAAAAATCACGTAAAAATAAGCGAAAACAATGGCTGTAATGAAAACTTGAGAATCCAGAATTACAGGATTGCCAGCCCGAATCCGGTTTTAATTTCTCCATGGCGTCGGCTTGATTCGAAAACAGTGCGTTATGTTGGGCTATGGACTCTAGGAGTGATGTAATGAATATGCATACACCTGGTTCCTCCTCACAGTAATATGAGTGGCTGGTGTCAGCCATAAATACAGACTGATGTCAAGGTACAGAAGGACGCCTATAGGCTACGCCTATTGCCTACCACTAGGACGGAACCAGTCCATTAGGGTTACCTGCTAGATTGTCCTACCCGGTTACAGTAGTCCGCAACCACATTGCTACTTCGAACAAATATATCCCTTTCCGGGAAATATTAAGGAGTAAAGTTGAAAATTTATACATATATATATATATATATATATATATATATATATATATATATATATATATATATGAAGAAATATGGTCTTAAGGTGTGCTATATTTATGGGATAAAGTGCTCAATATCAGGAAAGAGCGTGTGTAAAAGTGAACATTGAAGTCAACACTTAGAGGCGACAGTTTGTTTCCTGTTAGACGCAATCGTCAAGCCACGAGTGCTGTTATTTTTCTGGGCTATTTATATATACGGGTCATTGGTGAATTGTGGGTACTCTCTCTCTCTCTCTCTATATATATATATATATATATATATATATTTATATATATATATATATATATATATATATATATATATATATATATATATATATATATGCGAGTTCGAAATCCAGTCGAATCCATTACATTCACTTACGTGCTAATACCTTCGGAAAGGTATTAAGCCACTTGTCCCTCCAGCTTTGGGTAAATAGCAGGACAACCTGGGTTCTATAGCCTTGGATTTCAATTGGTCAAGGAGAAGGAAAATTAAACATTTTCGGTGTGTCGTTTGGGGGCCCTTGAGGGTCGTATTGCACCAGGTCGCTGTATTCGACCCTTCAAAAAGTGTTGTTGGTTCTGCACAAAGGCTTCACCACTATAATGAAGTCATACATGCTGGTGTCTAGGCTGTCGGTTCCTAGGAACTGAGCTTCTTGACCTGCATACATCGAATACGACGGGAGAGTCCATTATATATATATATATATATATATATATATATATATATATATATATATATATATAATGTCATCCACAGACATACTGTTTCGCTGTTTCACAGCTCTTCAGTGTGGCTAGACGTCCGGTTGCCTCTGGTTAGGATCTAAACCCGACTGAATTGGCGCAGGGCAAGGATGAAGGTGAATTTTAGCGTATTCGCTTTTTGCCGAAGAGTCTCGATATATATATATATATATATATATATATATATATATATATATATATATAATGGACTCACCGTCGGTTTATACGTATGAGGATATGACAACTTAGTTGATTAAGTTATGAAATTTTGTGCGATAATCTTAAGTGTCATTTAAGACCCACTAGTGATTTACAAAGGAGGCCACATATGGAGCAATATATATATATATATATATATATATATTTATATATATATATATGTGTGTGTGTGTGTGTGTGTGTGTGTGTGTGTGTGTGTGTGTGTGTGTGTGTGAAGAAATATGCTCTTAATGTGTGATATATTTATAGGATAAAGTGCTCAATATCAGAGATAGAGCGTGTGTAAATATAAAAGTGAACATTGAAGTCAACCCTAAGAGGCGACAGGCTGTTTTCATGCTAGAAGCAATCGTCAGGCCTGACGTTTGCGTCCCATTTTTTTTTTCTTTTGAATTTGTAGGTCTGATGAATTGGATCGTATTTACGATTCCAATAGAATAAATTATGTCCATGGAATATTAATGTTTAAGCCTTTTTATTATATAT